CAATTGAGCATCGTTGCAACGCCACAGCCTACCTGAGTATTGTTGCTGACCATGTCCATCCCTTTATGACCACAATGTACCCAACTTTCAGCAGGATAATGCGCCATGTCATAAAGCTGGAATCATCTCAGACTGGTTTCTTGAACATGACAATGAGTTCACTGTACTCAAATGGCCTCCACAGTCACCAGATCTCAATCCAATAGAGCATCTTTGGGATGTGGTGGAACGGGAGATTCGCATCATGGATGTGCAGCCGACAAATCTGCGGCAACTGTGTGATGCCATCATGTCAATATGGACCAAAATCTCTGAGGAATGCTTCCAGCACCTTGTTGAATCTATGCCATGAAGAATTGAGGCGGTTCTGAAGGCAAAAGGGGGTCCAACCCGTTACTAGCGTGGTGTACCTAATAAAGTGGCCGGTGAGTGTATATATGGAGTGCAACGATACAAGAAATTCACGATTCGGCTCAATACTTTAGTCTCATGGTTTGATATTTTTTCGATACAAAAAGAAATTTCCATTCCCTTTTAAACTTGTAAAACTATTTAAATTAGTTATGAACATTTGTTTAACCTCAAAAGTACAGTTTTTAAATTAAATGTTGCTGAAACAGCAAGTTTCTCAGTGGATCTGCGCTCAAAAACGCAGCCTAGGTGGAGTAGTCGAACACAGATCCACTGATTCTTCAACACAGAGCATCTTCAGAAGACAAGCTGAGAAAATAAATTTTTTAAATCTGTATTATTTGAAACAGCACTGTTCGATACGGTTCGATACGGGTACATGTATTATTGCACCCCTAATATATATCACCAAATGAAAAGATTGTTTTAAAAACAAAAATTCCAGTGTGGACAATGCTCTCAAAATTAATCATTAAAGAAAACTAAATAAAGAAAAAAATTGCCTTTTAAATTTTTAAACCACATAAATTTGGCAAAATTTGACAATTCTTTTATGTTATATTTGTTCATTAACTTATTAATTATATTTTTAAATATCATATTTTTGATATTTAAAAATATAATTAATAAGTTAATTATATTTTTAAATATCATATTTTTGATAAAGTCTCTGCAACAGTTCAGTGTGATGACAGATTTTAATATTTTGTTCATTCTGGACTCCATGATCTTGGTGAGCCACAATCAGAGCTGTAAGATGACGTTTCTGTACTCTGACTGCAGCTCTTGCTGGATTTATTCATCTTCTTCTTCGTGTGAATAAATCAAAAACTGCCGCCCTTGCAGTGAGGACCCTCGTCCATCCAGGTCCTGTCACTTTCTGGATTCTGTTGCTTCCAGGCAGGTTTCTGCTTTTCTAAAACCACAACGTTTTCAACCCAGCAGGAGGCTTATGTTATCAGTTAGGAATCTGCATTCCTGTCCAGTAGCATGCTCCGCTCCTCGCTGCATGCTGTTTCAGATGCACGCTGCATGTTAACGTGAAGGGGCTGAACACATGACAGAGGCCAGAAACTCTGCATGTAATGTCCTAATAAGGATGGCTGTGCTGTTCTCTTAGATCACAGACCTCTGGGCTGTTTTTCTGTTTGAGCTTCACATCAAAATGAAGCTGATTTCATCACACTGAGCTGGAAATAAAAAAGCATATCCTTGGAAAAATTACAGAGAGTTCTCCTGGCTGACACGATCCGACCGCAGTCGACGTCTGTTTGAGTTGAAAAGATTACAGTTTGATTGTTAAATTTTGTTTTTCCTGTGACGTTACGGCTGTACCCCAAACAACTCTTTCAATCAAGCCAAGAACATTAAAAACAATCATCTGGCACCACATTTTTAAGTAGCTGTCTATTTTAAAGCTTCTATTTAAAAACAAATTGTCTTTTTATTTGAAACTAATTTCCCTTTAACGGAACATTTGTTTGTGGCTGGACTCCAAACACGTTGCGGTCCTCCTGTTTTCAAAGTTCACATTTTGCCCTGATGTGTCACTGAATCCAACTCAAACCAACAAACACAAAACACAGAAAAGAACACAGAAACTCACTTTTTCTTTTACCCTGTTTTCAAGTAAACGGGCGGTAAGACATGGAAAGTTAAAGTAGGCTGGCATTTAATGATGCCTGTTTGATTGTTGTGTCACAGTTAAAATCATCAATTCTCATTTACACGCTGGAATCCATCACATTGTGACAGGTAAAGCTGCACTTGCAGTGTTTAAAATTAAAAGTTAACAGCGAGTTTATCCACCTCAACCTCATCTTTATTTTTTAGTTTACATCTCAAATTTTGATTTGCTGCAGCTTTGAGAAAAAAAACAAACAAACAAAATATACATTAAAGCGTGTGGCCTGAGCAGGATTAGTGTGTTATAAATGTTGATAACGGTAGACTGTATAGGAAAAATTAGCTAAAATAGTTAAAAATGTTTCCATTTGTAGCAAGGAGTTTTGACAATAGGAGTGAGATATTATTATAGGTGAAGARAGTGAAGACACGTGAAGAAAGACCGTCCATCATTAAACAGGGGTGGAGGCCTCCGTTTTCAGTTGTCCCCCTCCTACAGCGCTGCTATTGCCAGTATCACTCCACCCCCTGTTAACAATAGGTGTTAATTAGGTGTGAACGATAGCCATGTGATGTGAGTATCAGTCACATGGAGGCAGTGCTTAAAAGCCTGAATTTTGCCTGAAACTCTCAGACTGAAGAAGTCTCTTGGAGGAGAGACGAAACGTTTCATTAGAGAAGAACCCGTCCAGAAGACCTATACAATTTTTTTCTTTTTGATTTTTTACCTGGATTACCGAGATGCATCAGGACATTATTATAGGTATTATTTCTCAGTAGAAACATTTAAAGTTTAAACCAATCACAAAAATGTGTACTTTACAAAACTGAAATAGTTTTTGCAACATATCTTGTTTATAAGCATAAAATGGTCAACTTAGAGTTTGACAGTAAAGCATACTGAACTAGTCAAATGTTCAAACTTATTTCTTAGTTTATACATCAAAACAAAGGAAAAGACGTTTTGACCAGTTTGTCTCTCATTGCTATGGCGCTTCTGTTTTTCTTTTTTCTTTTTTTAAATCCCCTCCTAGAATCATTTTTTCCTTCGTACCGGAACAATACCGTTGTGACATGAACCTACCAAACCACTTAAAACTGCAGTTGCTTCCTGTTTCTCCGGAAACAGGGAGATTCCCCATCCACAGTGAGCTGAGCCGACTTTAAACGTCAGATCAAAAGTTGGGAGGAATGGATGTGCATGTCACACTGACCCCCCAAGGGCTTTTGGTGACGCCAGCCACCAAAATCAAAGGGGATTGCAAGAAAACAAAGTTTTATGTGTCCATGTTTCATAATCGGAGCTAAAAAAAAAGGTCAAAACTTCATGTAGGACAGAGTGGATTAGTAAGGATGTGTATACGTGGGTACCCATGTAATTGTCTGTATACAGATATAGATACATTTGGTCATACCCTTCCAAAATATCTATAACTGACCATAAAGCTCCAGTCTTGTCTAATTTTTCTCAGAAACCTTAGATTTTAGTTTTACACTTTTCTGTCTGGAGTGGAGCCCACCTGCCCATGATGGAAGTTGTGTTAATGTTTTAGAAAGGACACACGTTGCACGTGAAAGTTAGTTTTAGATGGTTTCCTTGGTTCTTTTCATTTTTACCATCCACACTTTGATCAAACTGAGGGTTCGCTTCATCTTGTGTCCACATCTTGGCTACAATCTCATGAACTTTTTACTTTTTATTAAAGTCACCTTGGATGTTTCCGCTCTTTGTGTGGTGCACACAAAGAAAAGTTTACACAAATGTATCCTTATGGATATATTTCTGTATGTTTATTTGGAGTTTTTTATGAGACAGGTTGAGGCTGCAGCAAAGATTTAAAATCTGCATTTACACTGAAATATGCTTGATCTTGTGTGTGTGATTCCTTTGGGATGTTCATTTCACTGTCACTTCTGTGTGCAGCGTTGTAAACTAGGAAAGTGGAAATGAACCCAGGTCCTCAATGCATTTCAACAAAAAGCTACTCAGTGAGAGAACTGAGTGAAGGAATCTGAAATTGATTTTCAAAGGAAACAAAAAAAAAAACAACCTGTAAAACATTTAAGGTGGTTGTCAAAAAACTGAAGGTGTTTTCTTGTCCTGTGTGTTGTGTTGGTGCTGGAGCAGGAGCAGCTCGGAGCGGCGTAAGGAGAAGTCCCGGGATGCGGCGCGGTGCCGGCGCAGCAAAGAGACGGAGGTGTTCTACGAGCTGGCCCACCAGCTGCCGTTACCCCACAGCATCAGCTCCCACCTGGACAAAGCTTCCATCATGAGGCTAGCCATCAGCTTCCTGCGCACACGCAAGCTGCTCGCCACGGGTATGACAACTGCAACACACACACACACACACACACACACACACACACACTGCTGGATACTGCAACAATCAATGCAAATGAATGTCTTTTGTCACAGATCACACACTGGTTTCCATTTGTTTAACTTATTGTTCTGAAAAAAAATGGAAGGTTGGAGTTTTTCCTTCTTGCTCCTGGCTTCGTTAAAATTAGAAGCGGAGGAAGCGCAGCAGCAGCCGACTTATTGTTCCCCCATTCTGTCGGGGTCTCAAAATAAGATCAGATAGCTGCAAAGTGAAACAACTGCAACATCAGTGGTCAAACCCCACAGCTAAACAAAACCGAAACAGAAGAAAATCCTGTGAAAGGCTTTAATCTGCAACACCTGATGGATTATAAACCTTGATATTGACTCATTTAAAGTCACAGTTCTTTTATAAAAATACACTGATGGACTGATTCAGCGTTCTTCTGTTTGAAGTTCTAAGTTTGCTAACAGCTGCTTTCACTGACTCATAGCTTTTTAGTTGAACAAAAGAGAGAAAATCAGCTCAGTTTATTTCATTTACACCAAAACAACAACAAAACAACCTCAGAGCACTAAAACAAAAATACCAATAAGTCCAAATCCTTAGGCAAAGTCACGTGGGTGTGGCGAACAAGACGGAGCTCTTTGTTTCCTGATGAAATTTTTATGTAAGTTTTTTAGTCAATGTCGTTCTCCTTTAGCAGTGAGATGTGATCGGTTTGTTGTCCTTTTTCTGAAGAAAATTGAGCAGTTTAATCTTGTAACGGCCACACTGAAGCATTCCAAACGTACCAGGCCTCCACATGAGGAGGAACATGGAGAAACACCTCCTCCTAATGTGCTGTCTGTTTGCTGAAGTTGTAAAAATGAAGAATATGCCACAAAACGCAGCCGCTGATGTTTCTTCAATAAAGCATCTTGGAATTTTAATGGATGTGAAACACTAACTTAAAGACGTGAAATATCTGCTTACTTAAAGACAAATCAAGTAGACATAACATTTCTTTATGAAATGGAGGGTTTAAAACTGGCCTGGTAGGTCATATGTTTCATAGTTCTCATCAAGTGCTCATAACAGTGTAATTATTCTTATCAATTCAGTTTTCATTGATGAAACATTTAAAAACACAGAGGGGAAAATGTGCCCAAGCAATGATAGAGGGTTTAAATGTTACACTTTGTAATATATATATGCACCAAATAAGAGAGTCATACTATAAATAGCACGTTGGGAAGTTTAACAGGAGCACATCCAAAGGTTCACTGAGCTCTGAAGGAAGAGAGGCTGTTCACATGTTAAAGGAAGGTGTGGGTCTTGCTGATGTATGGAGGCTAGTTAACTCTTATAAAAGGGAAAACACATTTTATTCTTAATGTTTACAAAACTAGGACCAGGGAATATAAGAGGGTCAAAGTGGAAAATGAAGGTCTCACACTTACAGGACAAATCTTTTCAAGAACAAATGGCCCCCTTTAAATATGTTTTAATTACATACAGTATATAAATGTATCCAAATCCTAACAAATAAAAGAAGATGTAAATAAGTTTGACATTATATATAGTATAATATTTTGTGAAATGAATCCCATTAGAAGGTAATTACCCTTTTCAGTTTTCATTAGATTTATTCCAGATATAATTTGAATAAAAAGGTTAGACAAAATAAACTAAAAACTATGTTAATATACACCAGTAATATGTAATGTAATTAATTACATTCTGTTTATTTTAAAATTTACTGATTTTTTTTAAGAATAACAATGCCATTCAGAAAACCAAGCACTCATCTTTGATATCTGTATGAGTAAGAAAGAACAAAAAAAAAGAAAAAAAAACTTTAAATGTATACATATATATATATATATATATATATACAAACATAAATTTTAGGAAAACTGTAATTTATTACATACTGTTTACTAAATGTATAAAACATTTTTCCTAAATCCTTTTCAGTACGTTTTGATGTACTTGTTTACTTAATAAGAACTAAAATTGCTTTTCATAAATGGCTGCTTTCCTGTAATTGGTGTTTTGGAAGCATTATTGTTGGGTTCAGAACAATAACTGAACAATTTGTTATAACAACTTGTCAGTGGAGCAGGAAGTCATTCTGATTAATGCCAGTTAAATGTTATTTATAAATCTTTCTACTGCCATTCGTCAGTTCATAAAGAACTGTTTAGTTGTATTTATTGGACTGTTTTGTATTTTGTGCAGAGGAAAAGATGGTGAAGTTAAGCAATGCTTCCTGAGAAATAAAACAAAATGATTTAATGACTGTTGCTTCCAATTTTTTATTTTTTTATTTTTTGATTAATCAATTTACTCCCTTAAAGCAGTTAAACAACAGTCACAGTGTGAGAGTTAAAATTTCAAAGGAAATTTAATAAATAAAAATATTTTATTTTACTAGACTACAAGGGTATGTTGTAAAAAACGAATACATTTTAAATATATCATAAAAATTAAAATGAAGCTGCTTGTTTTGCTAAAGAAATTTATATTATATAAGACTTTGTTTTCCTTAAATTAAAAAGGAAACAGTTTTGTTTCAAAATAAAATAGTTTGATTAATAAAACATTGCAATATATAAATAAAGCATTTTTTGCATTAATAAATATACTGTTTTTTTAAATTTTGTTTTAAAACTCTTTTCCCCCCAAAAGTTGTCTTGTTAATGTTTTGTGTTAAACCGTATTTTTGGAAACGTCAGACTTTTTTAAGTGCAACATACATTTTTCATTATTAAGCTCAAATCCACTTTAAAATTTAAATATCCTGCTTATATTTTTTGGGTTAAATTAAAATGTTTGAATTTATAAATAAATATATATAAACAAACAGTGCAAGATTTAGTCTTGGTAAAGTATGAAATGAGAAAAGAATATAAGTAAATAAATACTGAAATAATTATTTTGGGATTGAAATTAGTAAAACAGGATATTTTGTGCAGTTTATTACAGATTATTCTAAATGTAAAACAATATATATTACTATGTGCGTGTGTGTTTGTGTGTGCGCCCTTGTTTTTGCTGCTTAGTGGGGATGATATCTCAGGAAAATGCAGCCTCGTGGGGACCAAAGCCCGGTCCCCACAACTTCAGAGGCTGATTTTGGGTGGAGGGATAGGTTTAGGACCAAGGTGTGAATTGAGTTTAGGTTAGTTTTAGGGTCAGGTAGGTACCTGTGAGGTTAATTTTAGGGTAAATATTCAGGGTTAGGCTATGGAATTTCCAAAAAAAAAATGAATGGAAGTCAATGGAATGTCCCCACAAGGATAGAGAGACATAGTAGGTTTGTGTGTGTGTCCCACATCAGCATGTTTGTCCACAAAGAATGCGACTAAAAAAAGCAAAGAAAAACAACTCTTTGGCAGGTTTCAGATTTATTTTTAAAAGATTTTAAGATTTGTACTTTTGAAGTATCTGCTGGTATCAAGCATGAGGAGGTGGACCTGCAGTGCCAATTTTTCCCTCCTTGTTTTATTGTTTATGAAAACCTGTATCTTTAGGCTCTTTATGTTCCATGACAGTCAAGTTTTATTCCCAGAGACCCTTTGAGAAGAAAGGAGGAGGACAGGAGGAAGGAGAAGGAAGAGCAGCAGGATGAGAGCAGGAAGGCAGTGGGTGTGAAGCAGGAGGGAACACAGAGATCCGTGAGATGCGGCGGCAGATGTCGTGCCATCGGCCCGCTGCTCTCGCTCCGTGATGGAGGCTGAGATATCGTAGAGGAAGCAGAGCGCTCTGCCCACCGTTCAGCCGGTGCTAAAATTATCCCCGGTAGCCATAACAGCCAACCGCCGTGGCGCCAAACGAGCCGCGGTTCAAGTTTGTGCGTACGCTTTATCACACACACACACATACACAAGTGCACACTTTGTAGATGCAGCCATACAGCTGCTGTAAGAAACACCTCTGTTACCTAACCTCAGTGGGATCTGACGGAGCTGAGGGCCACTGATGTTTCAGATAAACTCAAGGACACCGAGCTACATAAGCACAGAGAAAAACGTTCAGTTTTTTTTTTCTGAATGCTTCAGAAATTATTTTATTACTATTGAAAAGCAGAAAATACTATATTACAATTTTGTTCTGCAAATTTATTTTCCAGATCCAACCAAAACAAATAAAAGTTTAAAAAATAAAGATAAAAAATACAGAAATTAGGAAGGAATTATCTCCAACTGCAGTTTTACAATTGATCACGGTAGAGCTGTTGCCTCTCAATAAGGAGGTTGTCGGATCAAATCCCACCCGGGGACATTCTAGGTAGAGTTTGCATGTTCTCCCTGTGGGTGCGTAGCACTCCAGTTTCCTCCCACAAACCAAACAGGAATATTAACTGGTAACTCTAAATGGTCCCTAGGTGTGTTTGTGTCGATGTGTCCCTGTGATGGACCCGCCCCCACACTGTGACTGCTGGTGATGAGCATCAGTCATCCTGAAAGGAAGATAATGGAGGGATGCCTTTATGGTTTTAATTGTCTGTCTGTTAGCAAAATATCTCATGACCTACTGTACATAGTTTAGTAAAACGTTGAAAGTAATAGTTGTATGTTTTACTTATAAACATTTCATTCGTTCTGGCATAATGCTTCAGGTTAGTTTTGGCTAATCTATGGGTTAAAAACAGTTTGAGGTCAAACTTCTCCTTTATTTAAAACTCGTGTTTTCAAATGAGGCCAAACAAAAGACAAATACGTTTTTATTTTTATAACATTTGATTTATTTTTCCAGCAGTATGTTGAGTGTAGAGAAAAACTCCAACTAACTTGTATAGTATGAGTGTGTTGTTTCATGTTTATTGACACTGAAATCATATATTTTTATGTTTTATGTTGTTTTTCATGAAGTTTGAACAGAAACCATGGGGTAAAAGGCTGAATCTCTGAAGCCCACATCAGAGAACAGATGATGTTATCATGGTTTCCTGACGGTCTTGTTTTGGGAGTTCCACTTCCTAAAATTTGGCCTTTCATGTTTTCTGTTAAACAGTTTGAAGGTTTTTGTTTTTTTGTTTTTTTTTGGACTCAGGCTTTGTGTCGTTTTCTGTCTTGTTGCAGCAACAGGACAAATGTTGCTGAAGTGTGGCGCTTACTGGTGCCCACCTTGGTTTTGTGCCCCTCAGCTTCCAACAAGGCTGCTTATGCAACAGAAGAACAGAGAGAAAAGTTCAGCTCAGTCCAAATCACTGCTAATCATGTCTAAGTACAGTATGTAGACCAAAGCTGTCACCAGGCTCTTGGATTGGGCCCCAGAAGTCCCCATTTGCTCTCTGGGGTTCGTGTGAAAACTCGGGGCTCCTGCAGACCGGACTGGACCCGGCTCTGAACTCGAGCCTTGAGAACCATTCTGCTCTTATCTGAGGGAAGCACAGCAGAGGAACTGCAAGCTTCCCACCCTCCACCCCAGTCCACTACTGGGCTTTGTTCAGCATGAAGCCACTGTCCACACACAGACACACACACACACACACACACACACACACACACACACACACCCACACACACAC